CCATAGTGTTTGTGAGAGTCTCCCCTTTCCATAGAGTTGTTATGTAGACCAAACCGTTCGGACGCTACAGAAGTTTACGTGAGAAGACCGCAGATGCAGAAGGCCGACATAGGCAGATGAGGTGGATTGAGACGCAGCCCATGAAAAAACTGATATTTTTTAAATGATGTTACTTAGATAGACGCACGGGTGGTTGGCAGTGATTACAGCTGTGAATATTTCTGGGTAAGCCTTCCACACCTGGATTGTACAATATTATACAACGGGTGGGTCTAGTCCTGAATGCTGATTGGTTAAATCCGCATTCCATCCGGTGTCTATTCCACAAGTTGCCATCGGCTAAATCTATGACGTTAAAATGCCTATTTACTTTTTTCCATCTGACTGCTCAATCCACTGTCTCATCAGCCCAGCCAGGCACTTTATAAACTTGATCTCCACTATAAAATGCATCTAGACATTTTCTCACATTTTCAACAGCGGAGGTTTGTATAAACTTTGCTGTCTGTCTCTGTCATTTGCAACATTGTTTCAATATTCAAATTAGATCTCCAGCTGTACCATAATAATAAACGTGTCGGAAGTCGGCAGGCAGCATTTCCCAGCCAGTCGAAATCATGAATCAGCTGGCATAATTTGTTTATATATATACAAAGAAATGTAAATTGAAAAAAGGTAAAACGAAACGAAGTGCAGCTAGTTTGCAGTCTTTCCAGCTTCAGTTTGAAATGATTGTGTTAGCTGTGTTGTTGGCTAGCTCCTCTGAACAACAGTGTCCTGACGAGTGAGCACATTTTCTATGCCAGCCAAAATCGTACATCATTAGCTTATTGTTATGGATGTATCCAAATAAATGTAACTCCTCAATTGTCCAGTGTTGGTGATCACGTGCCCACTGGAGCCACTTCTTGTTTTTAGCTGATAGGAGTGCAACCCGGTGTGATTGTCTGCTGCCATAGCCCATCCGTGACAAGGATCGATGAGTTGTCTGACCCGGTACTGGCCGGTGAGTGAATATGGTGATATTCAATCTCAAAGTTACAGGACTTTGATGTTTAATCTGTTTGTTTGCCTTGACTAGCTAGCTGGATGGCTAATGTTTGCATTAAATAATGTAGCAACAGTTACTGCTTTTTTGTTTCACCTGTCTGTCTGGAGATGTCAGAAAAGCTCAGGGACTATTCCGGACCACTGCTGATGTGTAGGCCTAGACTAGTTGATTTGCTGGCGCTTTACTGCAGCCAAAGCATCACCCAAGTGGGTGCTACACTGTCGTCAATGGTGGATCAGTTATCTACGGAGGAGTGGCTACTATGGAGGAACTGGGAACGTCAGAGAAAGCGAGGGGCCCTGACGAAGAGCTGGCATGTCTGACAGACTGACCTTCTCCCTTGCTGTACTGTAGCATTGGTGCGCCCTCCGCTCAAGCCATACTGACTTTTCCAAACTACCTCAACTCCTTTTCCAGGCAAATATCCAAAGTGGACTAGAGATAGATTAGTTTTCCATCTTGAATTTGTTGTTCATTGATGAATGATGTACAGTTGAAGTCGGAAGTTTACATACACTTAGGTTGGAGTCATTAAAACTTGTTTTTCAAACACTCCACACATTTCTTGTTAACAAACTATAGATTTGGCAAGTCGGTTAGGACATCTACTTTGTGCATGACACAAGTAATTTTTCCAACAATTGTTTACAGACAGATTATTTCACTTATAATTCACTTTATCACAATTCCAGTGGGTCAGAAGTGTATATACACTAAGTTGACTGTGCCTTTAAACAGTTTGGAAAATTCCAGAAAATTATGTCATGGCTTTAGAAGCTTCTGATAGGCTAATTGACATAATTTGAGTCAATTGGAGGTGTACCTGTGGATGTATTTCAAGGCCTACCTTCAAACTCAGTGACTCTTTGCTTGACATCATTGGAAAATCAAAAGAAATCAGCCAAGACCTCAGAAAAAAAATTATAGACCTCCACAAGTCTGGTTCATCCTTGGGAGCAATTTCCAAATGCCTGAAGGTACCACGTTCATCTGTACAAACAATAGTACGCAAGTATAAACACCATGGGACCACACAGCCGTCATACCGCTAAGGAAGGAGGAGATGTGTTCTGTCTCCTAGAGATGAACGTACTTTGGTGCGAAAAGTGCAAATCAATCCCAGAACAACAGCAAAGGACCTTGTGAAGATGCTGGAGGAAACAGGTACAAACCTGAATATAACCTGAAAGGCCGCTCAGCAAGGAAGAAGCCACTGCTCCAAAACCGCCATAAAAAAGCCAGACTACGGTTTGCAACTGCACATGGAGACAAAGATTGTACTTTTTGGAGAAATGTCCTCTGGTCTGATGAAACACAAATATAACTGTTTGGCCATAATGACCATCGTTATGTTTGGAGGAAAAAGTTGGTGGCTTGCAAGCCGAAGAACACCATCCCAACCGTGAAGCACGGGGGTGGCAGCATCATGCTGTGGGGGTACTTTGCTGCAGGAGGGACTGGTGCACTTCACAAAATAGATGGCATCAAAATTACGTGGATATATTGAAGCAACATCTCAAGACATCAGTCAGGAAGTTAAAGCTTGGTCACAAATGGTCTTCCAAATGGACAATGACCCCAAACATACTTCCAAACTTGTTGCAAAATGGCTTAAGGACAACAAGGTCAAGGTATTGGAGTAGCCATCACAAAGCCCTGACCTCAAGCCTATAGAAAATTTGTGGGCAGAACTGAAAAGCGTGTGCGAGCAAGGAGTCCTACAAACCTGACTCAGTTACACCAGCTCTGTCAGGAGGAATGGGCCAAAATTCACCCAACTTATTGTGGGAAGCTTGTGGAAGGCTACCCGAAACGTTTGACCCAAGTTAAACAATTTAAAGGCAATGCTACCAAATATGAATTGAGTGTATGTAAACTTCTGATCCACTGGGAATGTGATGAAAGAAACAAAAGCTGAAATAAATAATCATCTCTATAATTATTCTGACATTTCACATTCTTAAAATAAAGTGGTGATCCTAACTGACCTAAGACTGCGCATTTTTACAAGGATTAAATGTCAGGAATTGTGAAAAACTGAGTTTAAACGTATTTGGCTAAGTTGTATGTAAACTTCTGACTTCAACTGTATTTTGTTAACAAGAGGATCACAATGGAAATACATTTTAAAACTTTATGTTATCGTCTTTGATTTTTTAAATGCATTGTATCCACATTTGTGGTTGTGTTGTTTTTGTTATTATTGTCAAATAAATCATATATCATATATAGGCTACCGCATCGAGAACCAGCCTTCCCTGGAGGTATGGCAAATGTTAAGCAAGACTAGCTACCGCATAACCCCTGACTTGCTTCACTTCCACCGGGTAAGGGAGGAAGCTTTTTGTAAAAGGGGGTCTATGCAGAAATGTGTAATCATCGCTGTGTCAGACCCAACGTATGGGTATTGGTTTATGACCATATAAAATCATCATGCAAACCTGGTGTACTTGTAAGCTCCCCTACCACATAAATACACAGTATGTATGTACGCATGTGATTGTGTGCAAGGAAACAATGACTCAAAGTGTTTTTTTGACGGCAAAACAACTCCAGATGTTTTTCACGGGACAAATATACAATAGACTTGAGGAGGGAAGCAGTGAGAGGGGGGGTGGGGGGTGGGGGGGGGGGGGGGGGGGGGGGTATTGTGAGAAACAAAATTACAATATTGCCTCACTGTGGAATTGGGGAGATTAAATGATAACCCCTAATAATAGTATTTCCTGGAAGACTGGGTTATACTATGACATGACAATAATTCTTAAATTCATCTGATTATAATTATTATGTGGTCCTCTGTAGCTCAGCTGGTAGAGCACGGCGCTTGTAACGCCAAGGTAGTGGGTTCGATCCCCGGGACCACCCATACACAAAAATGTATGCACTCATGACTGTAAGTCGCTTTGGATAAAAGCGTCTGCTAAATGGCATATTAATTATAAATTCTCTAAATTCTCTCCTTTGGGATGTCTTGAGGGGGAGATCATGGGGAACTGGTCATGAGGGAGTTTTTTGGGGGGGATGAAGGACATTTAAAAAATAAACATGGTGACGGCAAACGTGACTCAAGGGAAATATGGCAGGAAGATTGGGACGATAAAGAAAGAGAGAGAGAAGAGATGGAGTTATTTTGGGCCGTTGGGTTTCCTGCAGGTGATGGAAATGAAACAATATTTTAACAAAACAATTGCTCCACAGCATGCGAGCGAGGGGGGGAGAGGAGGAGGATGATGGGGAGGAGGGAAGTGTGTAAGAAGAAGAGTGATTATAGCACATAAACAAAATAATTAATATAGACATTCGATATGAAGCAATGTGATTTTAACTTACATGTGATGTTGACTTGGCTACTATATAAGAAGTGTAGCTATTAGTAAATGTACAATAACACTGTCAAAACTATTGATTGATTATAGGAGGAGGTGTTGGCTTATTGTGAGTATAGTAACTTTTGGACACACCTCCCCTCACCCCATCTCTCCAGTTTATAAAAGGAGAGAGCAGGAGAAAATATGCTAAAGTTTGAGAACTAGAACCCAGGGATCAATACAATACAACAATAATTTCAGGATTAATGGTTTACCTAAAAAGGCATAACACGGTTTTCAGTTGTCTTAGTGGTGAGTTTTTATTAATTTCTATACTTGTATTCATTCATTCAAAGTCTGTTGCATTTGTATGTGATTTATGAGAGTTTATCAGTACTTTAAAAGTCTATCAGTACTTATCAGTATCAGAGTTGATCAGCACATATATGCCCTTGCATGAGAGTTGATAAATGTATGAAAATATAGAAAATGTATTCCAGTGATAGCATGGATAATCATATCATGATAGGTGCAATATATGACTGTGTATTATTATGCTATGTAGTGTGTTATATAATACCATTTTATTGTGATTTTATTGTGCTTTCTATGTAATAATCATATGATCTTCCTTATAGGCCACCACAGTATGGAGATGGCTGTACTGCTGCTTCTGACTGTTCCTGTGACTGTAGCCTCACCCCTCAGATCAACATATAGGTGATTTAGCTTCTATAACCACAACCCTCAGAGTTAGCACAGGGAGCGCTACAGACCATATACCACCAGACCTGGGTCAAATAAATATGTAAAGTACTTTAAAATACTGCTTGGAAGTATTTTAGGTGCGGTTGATTTAGCTTGGAGATTGCACTTTTGTGACTATTCAATTGGTTCCATTGTAGGCCTACTGGGCAAACTAAATCAAACCCAGGTCAAGCATTTGACATAAGTATTTGACCTAGGTCTGACAACCACACCACTCAGAGCTCCAGACAGTTTCTGTGGAAGTAATTACACAACAAATACAAATTACAGAAGAGAACCACCTTTCTCATCCTCAATACACCAGCCTCCACTGAACAATGGGAGAGTAATTGATGACATCTGTATCCAAAATCACTGATTTCACAGAAGAGCATCTAACTTCTTCCAGACAAAACTGAGGCAAATAAAAGATACACCCAGACACGTGTTATATTCTTCCGAATATGACATCAAGCAGTAGTCAAATAATGACTCTGGTACGAACTTGAAGATTGCAGCCTATATGGTGCATGTCATGATCTGTTTGAAATAATCTATTTTTGGCCCCACAGGACGCAGTCTGATACCAACCAATCAGGGGGGCGCCTACAGACTTTGGAGGAAAACAGGAGGTTAGAGGTCATGTCAGAAGTCATGCAAGATCTACACCTACCAGAACTAAAGGTCATTCCACTTGTTCAAATGCAAGACATGGACGTTTTTCCATATAGGTAAGCTGCCTACAAGTGTTGCATTGTAGTCTCTGACCATGTGGCATTGTGAGAAGGGGTTAGGGTTACTTTTTTACACAATTAAAAATGTATTTCAAATGTTAAATTGGCATGCTTAGGCACTCTTAATAGGCTACACTCTCTGTTTTCATGGTTGGAATTTGTTTTATACAATACTCTCTTTCTCCCTTTCTTTCTCTCAGCATTGGGTTGAAACTCCGTCCGAAGCGAGCTCCTCAGCGCGGGTGTCAACTTGGCACATGTCAACTTCACAACCTGGCCAACACTTTGTACCAGATGGGCAAGACCAACGGAAAAGATGAGTCTAAAAAAGCCCACGACGCCCATGGTTACGGGAGATAGTGCCAAGAGAGAAAGGAAACGATTATGGACTATTAATGGTGGAGAGTTCGGAACATATTCAACGTTATTATTACGTTATAACAAAGTTATTACCCCACCAATTGACTGTGCTTACCGACGGAACTGGTACTCATACATCCATTGGGAATTGTGGGGATGTGCGTGTTCGGGCTGTAGTGATCTCAGCCGCGTTGCTATGTCATAATGGGACGCCGGACTATAGCGTCTCAGCGTCTGTGGACTATGATTTAGGCCTTAAGCAGTGGAGCGTGACCATTATTTTGCAAGGTGTCAGGCTACTTTTTTTTCTTCTTTCTTCTCCCCTTTCATGATTCTAAACCACACCGTCACCAGGGGCCTCAATTATAAATGTTGCGTTAGTACAAAACATACCCCAAAACATACGTGCGCCAGTTGTGACGCAAAAGTTGGAATTTATAAAAACTGATCATGACGCACATTTTTACCCATGTGTAGGCATTTTTATTTCAAATACTTCTAGTAAGTTGAGCTCAAAGTCAATGAAAAGTTATTATTACTTAAAGTGTTTATGTTGTACTGACTCAAAACTAAATGAGAAGTCATTCCAACTCTATTTTTTAAAGTTATGATAATAAATTAACTTTCTTCCTGGCATGCTCTATTGCAGGTTGATTTTTTGGAATTGTTTTTAATATCTGTGTTTTGCATGTCAATTGAGGGATTGTTTAATGTTATAGTACACATAGATAAATAACATACATTTTTCTAATCCAATCATTTAGTTCGATTTCTTGCACCCGTTACTGGATTCGGTCCTATGTAGCAAAATTTGAAATTGTGTTTTTTTAACTTGGATAAAAGTAGAGACACAGAGCTAGAAAATGGTATATCATACACTACAGTTGAGGAACAATGGGAAAGTAATTATGCTTTAAATGTTAATAAACTTGTAATCCCACTTTTGAGAAAATGGCCCTTACTGTTTTGGTACACCTACTGGTAGCTCTTCTTTGTCTACACCCACTCAGCATCGTTCACACCCTCTTAAGCCTTAGCCCCACCCATCTATTTAAGGATTCACATGTGAGGCTATGTGCTAAACAGACAAAGATTTTAAGACTAAAGGCTGGTTTATACTACGCCTATCGGCATGTCTGTAAACAGTTGTCGCAGTGATCTCATGAACATTCTATAGTCGTCCGACATCAAACTTGTCAAAAATGAATTTAAGATATGTCGATCTAGAAAACCAGGCAACTAAAAGCAACTTTCTAAACAATGTTTTGGTTCGTTTCTGGCAGTTCAAATAATGACACATCATAGCTGACAACATCTTAACTTTAGCAAATGTTTATTCATTATTACAGGAAAGAAACTCACAACAAGATCATTATTTACAAGTTAATGGCGAGCAAATTACAGAAAATAGCTTACGGTTGTGAGTGTGACGAAGTAAAAGCAGGGCATTCTACCTGAGAATTTTTGAACTTAGACACTGTCTCGTTGGCCTAACATTATATCCTAATTACCGTCTCTGGTAGACACACACTATATCAAATAGCATCAAAGTTTATTTGTCACATGTACAGGATACAGAAGGTGTAAACGGTACAGTGAAATGGTTACTTGCATAGTAAAGTATTTTGTTTAGACATGTAGCTAGCTAGCTAGCTAGCTAAACAATTAACCATAATCCCAACTCATAATGTTACTACCATGCATGAATCTGCAGGTAACTAAATTTAACCAACTAGGTTCAATGTTAGCTAGCTAGCTAACATTAGGCTATAACTAGCAATTTATATCGCTTTCTGAGATACTAATAATATTACTACACAGATCATACACGTAACGTTAGCTAGCGAGCCAGCCAGTACACTTTAACTTGCAATGAAAATGACTTTCTGACTAAATATAATATCTGAAAATGTAGCTCTCTCTTACCCGTATACATGGATGAACGCTTCTCCCTCTCTGTCACGGATGCCATGGTTGCCCTTAGTTTTAAGATGTAATCCGGAGACAGGGTTCTCTTTTCGACTCCCTCCGCATAATATTTGCAATCAAACGCCAGAATTATCTCCATCGCCTTACAGTAGCTGTCATACTCTGCTTCCACTGGGCATTGCGCTGATTTCGAAACTCTGTCAAATTCTTTGTAGCAGTTCTTTGTGATATCTTTCAAAAAAGCAGCACTAGAAAGGATTACCTACACATACTGAGCAGCTCATGTTATAAACAGAAGTATGCTACATGGCAGACCAATCCGAACTCATCTCTCACCATGTCCAGCCCATCCATTATCTCAGCCAATCATGGCTAGCAGGAAGGTTCCTGTCTTTTTCCATGGCTAAACCAACCAGGCTCGTAATTTAAGTTTGTTATTAAGGCACATGAAAGTTCACATGTTCCAGAAGGCATTTCTGACAAAAAAAAAACACATTTTAATGATAAATAAATGTTTACGTTCAAACGCCTCTCCTGTGAAGTAGTGATGTAAATGAGTCACAAATGGTTGTTCCAGTTTGAATGCCTTAGGTAAGTCTTCTCACACTGTTCCTAACCCTGGCAGTCATTATGAATGCAGGTTGCGGGTGAATACAATTTTTAACTGTTGGATAGCCTAACTCTAGTGGGATTCCAATAGGAATATCACGCCACTTTGCAAGCCAGCATAATGTCACTTGCAGGTAGGGTTGCCAAATTCTGTAACATTTTCCAGAAATCCTTTTTGGAAGATTCCTGGAAATCCTTCATCCAGGATTTATTTATTTATCTGGGAATTTTGGGAAAGTTGCTGGAATTTTGCAACCATATTTGCAGGCCTAATGTGGCCTGTAAACCATGAGTATTAGGGTAAAGCTAGGCCTAAAAAAAGGCCTTATGATACAGTATATGAAATGTATTGTCATAAAGAGTTGAATTATAATGATAAAATTCACATAGGAACTCACTTGGTGAGCATAGTTCCCGCTCAGCCCAGTCAAAACTGTTCGCTGCTCTGGCACCCCAATGGTGGAACAAGCTCCCTCACGACGCCAGGACAGCGGAGTCACTCACCACCTTCCGGAGACATTTGAAACCCCACCTCTTTAAGGAATACCTGGGATAGGATAAAGTAATCCTTCTACCCCCCCCCCCCCCCCTTTACCCCAACCCCCCCCCCCCCCCCCCCCAAAAAAAAAAAAAAAACATTGTAAAGTGGTTATCCCACTGGCTATAGGGTGAATGCACCTATTTGTAAGTCGCTCTGGATAAGAGAGTCTGCTAAATGACGTAAATGTAAATGTTAATGTAAATGTAAGGCCACAGTACTGAAAAAGAATGAATTCAACAACCTTGTCACTAACAAATACAGTAATGGGTGGGAACTCTACAATTCACTCAAAGGCAAGGAAATTACAGTTACTTGCAAAAGTATTCATCCCCCTTGCCGTTTTTCCTATTTTGTTGCATTACAACCTGTAATTTAAATTGATTTTTATTTGGATTTCATGTAATGGACATACACAAAATAGTCCAAATTGGTGAAGTGAAATGAAAAAAATAACTTGTTTCCAAAAATTCAAAAAAATAAATAACGGAAAAGTGGTGCATGCATATGTATTCACCCCCATTGCTATGAAGCCCCTAAATAAGATCTGGTGCAACCAATTACCTTCAAAAGTCACATAATTAAGTCCACCTGTGTGCAATCTAAGTGCCACATGATCTGTCACATGATCTCAGTATATATACACCTGTTCTGAAAGGCCCCAGAGTCTGCAACACCACTAAGCAAGGGGCAGAAACTTTGAACATCCCAAGGAGCACCATTCAATCCATTATTAAAGAATGGAAAGAATATGGCACTACAACAAACCTGCCAAGAGAGGGCCGCCCACCAAAACTCACAGACCAGGCAAGGAGGGCATTAATCAGAGAGGCCAAATATAACCCTGAAGGAGCTGCAAAACTCCACAGCGGAGATTGGAGTATCTGTCCATAGGACCACTTTAAGCCATACACTCCACAGAGCTGGGCTTTACAGAAGAGTGGCCAGAAAAAAGCCATTGCTTAAACAAAAAAATAAGCAAACACGTTTGGTGTTCGTCAAAAGGCATGTGGTGCCAAACATTTGGAAGAAGGTACTCTGGTCAGATGAGACTAAAATTGAGCTTTTTGGCCATCAAGGAAAACGCTATGTCTGGCGCAAACCCAACACCTCAAATCACCCCGAGAACACCATCCCCACAGTGAAGCATGGTGGTGGCAGCATCATGCTGTGGGGATGTTTTTCATCGGCAGGGACTGGGAAACTGGTCAGAATTGAAGGAATGATGGATGGCGCTAAATACAGGGAAATTCTTGAGGGAAACCTGTTTCAGTCTTCCAGAGATTTGAGACTAGGACGGAGGTTCACCTTCCAGCAGGACAATTACCCTAAGCATACTGCTAAAGCAACACTCAAGTGGTTTAAGGGGAAACATTTAAATGTCTTGGAATGGCCTAGTCAATGCCCAGACCTCAATCCAATTGAGAATCTGTGGTATGACTTAAAGAATGCTGTACACCAGAGGAACCCATCCAACTTGAAGGAGCTGGAGCAGTTTTGCCTTGAAGAATGGGCAAAAATCCCAGTGGCTAGATGTGCCAAGCTTATAGCGATACCCCAAGAGACTTGCAGCTGTAATTGCTGCAAAAGGTGGCTCTACAAAGTATTGTCACGATCGTTGAGAGATGGGTCAGACCAAGGTGCAGCGTGGTATGCGAACATGTTTATTTACTCAATAAACATACAACAACACAATAAACAACGTAATGTGAAGTCCTCCGGCTATACACATACAAGCCAACACGGAACAAGATCCCACAACTAAACTAACTAGAGAATAACAGTCTCTCCAGGTCAGGGTGTGACAAGTATTGACTTTGGAGGAGATGAATAGTTATGCACGCTCAAGTTTTCTGTTTTTTTGTCTTATTTCTTGTTTGTTTCACAATTAAAAATATTTTGCATTTTCAAAGTGGTAGGT